AAAATTGGGATTCCTGCCCCATCCCCAGGGGCTAGGGCGGGGCCCCAAACGGAACATTTACTAATATTTTCAAATTCTTATCCTTTGATGACATGACAAGTATTGTATTTCACTTAGTTTACATGCTGATTTCCACATCACATCTAAACAATAAAATAAAGCTACCAGTACCTATGATATAACTCAGGTGACCGCTAAGGCCCTTGGGCCTCTTGTCTAAAAATGCTATGTTTAGATTTTGACACTGTTTCTAGAGTTCTAGTTGAAATATCTAATGAATTCCACATTCTCAGGGTACTGGGGATAAACGATTTTTCATACAAAACTAGTCGACACTTGGGTAATACATAATCTTGACCATTTCTTAAATTATATCTACTAATGTCATTTACTTTATTGGGTACGATGTCGTTTAGGTAAGAAGGAACTAAATTATGGTGCATTTTGTATAATTATAAAAAAAAATTTTGTTTCCGTCTGTCTTCAAGTTTTTCCCAGCCAGTTTCACAATACAAAGACTGTCTACTAGCAAATAAAGGCAAACCTGTAACTATTCTGGCTGCTTCCAGTTGGACTTTTTCTATTTTATCAGAATCTGCATTGTTACAACCATCCCACACTTCACTCGCATATTCTAAAATAGGTCTGATGAATACAATGTATCATTTTGATAAAAATTTCTTTATTCACAGTAAATTTCAATTTTCGTAAAACAGACAAATGTTTAGAGGCTGATCTGCCAATATGCAAGATATGTGTTTCCCACTTGCCATTTTCGTTTAAAGTTACCCCTAAGTGTTTGTGTGTAACACTTTTTGTCAATGTTGTGTTATTAAAAATCAACCGAACATCAAGTCGTTCTAAAGAACCAGTAAAAACAACTACGTCTGTTTTATTAGGATTAAAATTTACCTTCCATTTCTTCGACCAGTGTTCAATAACTACTAAATCATGGTTAATGTGATATTCAATTTCTGCACTATTATTTGAAGAATATGCGAGTGAAGTGTCGTCAGCAAACATTCTTGACAATGAAAATAATTTTTCACAATTCATTAATATATAACAAAAATAGAAATGGTCCTAAAACAGAACCTTGTGGTACACCAGGATTTACATACCCTGTGTAAGAAAAAGCTTCACGTAAACATACCATTTGATTTCTACCACTTAAATAATCTCTCAACCAATTATAAATATTGCCTCTTAGACCATATGCTTTATTTTTTTTCATTAAGCCATCATGCCAAACTCTATCGAAAGCTTTTGAAATGTCAAAACATACCATACATGTTTGGCGCTTATTTTCTAATGATAAACATATATTATGATACATTTCTAGTAATTGTGTAACAGTAGAATGACCTGGAACAAAGCCTGACTGGTGTTTATACAGGAGTTTGTTATCGATGACAAAATTAAATAAATGCTTGTACATTACTCGTTCAAGCACTTTACTGACAGTACTAAGAAGAGAAATAGGTCTGTAATTAGAAGAAAGAAAACGCTCACCTTTTTTAAATAAATGTTTTACTATAGCTGTTTTCCATTGACTTGGAAACTTACATTGACTTAGAGATAAATTAAAAAGCAATTGAAGAGGTATACAAACACTTTCTGCAGTATTTTTTAACCTTGTATGACTAATTTGATCTTTTCCGGTAGCTTTGTTTAGCTTCAAAGTTAAAAGAATATCCTTTATATCAGTTACAGAGAAGACAATATTTTCAATTGAACAGTATCACTTACAAATATAGGATCAATCAGAGTCTGTGTATTCGCAGTAACCCTGGTAGGTTCATATATTACATTGGTTAAGTTAAAAAGAATAACAATATCATTAAGTCTATGGTTTCGAACTGTAAACAGATCAATATTAATATCGCCAAGTATGATGATATTGGTACTATAGTTAAAAGCCGTCTCTATGGAGGTCTGGAAATTGTCCCAAAAATGTATATTGGATCCTTCAGGACGGTACACAGTACAGATAAGATATGAGCAACCAGTACAATTCAGTTCAATCCAAATGATTTCACCGCCTGGAAATTCTTAATCGGCGTTTAAAATGAACATCTTCGGCTATGTAGATCATTACACCACCACCAAAACAGTTTCTATCTAGTCGGAGTGGCTCTGAGAAACCTTCAATCAAAAGATCAGAGTTTGGTACATTATCATCGAGGTGTGTTTCAGTAAATAATAGAACTGTATGCTCGTTAGCTAAGGATTCGATATCAGAAATTTTATTACGGATGCTTCTTACATTTAGATGGAAGAAAGAAAACTCTTTCTGTTCTAATTCGGGCCCGGGATTTGTTTCAATATCATTGCTTAAGAGTAATATCAATACAATAGTATAGTAGGGGTTTTCCAGAAGACATTTCTGGTTACGAAGGATAATTATCATTGCTTGCCGGTTAAGTGCAAGTAGTTTTCGAGTACCAAGCAACAGAAAGACAAAAAGTAATGTATCAAAAAGTGTGCATTTACTTACATATAATATTAAAACGCCATGCATTTTGAGATAGTATGTCCCTATTGCCACTCTGTACAACACTAAATCAATAGGCTTTTTAAAACTGATATGGGGTACACTGGGTATGCTATATACAACTAACATTTGAAAATATATACAAAAATGGAAAAGTAGGAGAAAAAATAAACACGTCCATGTACTTGAACGTATCAAAAGAAACAAGACGTTTTTGAGCATTACAAATGACTGATCCTCCAATATGAGAAGGATGGGCAGCAGAACAATTTGGGATTTACGTATATATATACACAATGAATATTGTAAAAATAGTTATAGGGGTTAAAGAGAATTCCACGTTTAGGATAACAAAACGATAATTAAAGTCTGAAGAGAGATATTTCAAAAACTAATAGAATGTATTGATGCATTCTATGTTCATGCTATATACAATTTTGCTAGTCTGTATACATGTATTCTCGTGTAAATAAGTTTCCCGTACCAAAACATCCATATTTCGTCTGTTATACATACAAGACACTACATCTACAAAACTTATCTGTTTGGTATGTGTATACAAACATCTGTACAAAAAATTCCACATTTCATATTTATACAATTAAACAACTAACGTTTATGACGCATACGTGGAACTGAAGGAATGGTGTGAGGTTTGGTTGTGACCTCATATCAACAAAATAGTGTGATACATGTGTTATCTTACGATGATTGTACACTAAAGCAACATATGTAACACAAACGGACTTTGGATTATCAACAGTTTTAAACAAGACAGACAGACAGACACACACACACACACACACAGACAGACATACACCCAGACACACAGACGGACGCACAGACAGACACACAGAGACACACACACACACACACACACACACACACACACAGGAACAGGCACACAGACAGACAAACTGTTGGACAAAGCAGACAGACTAACTAATAAGACACCATTGATTTATTGTTAAATATAGCTTATTAAACAAGGGGTTTTTTATCAATGAAGCACTCACCCAGAGTACCCGTCTCACTTGTAGACAGTGATACGTATTACACACATGTACAACTGTATACACTGACCATACATGTACATGTATTTACAATTCAATGTTTATGTTATATTGTATGTGTGACACACGTGGATTGTTCACTTACCCACATGGATCTCTCCATATCCATTATCAAATATACATATTGTACTATACATATACATATATCTTTGGTAATGCGAACAGACAGACAGACAGACAGACAGGCAGGCAGACAAATTATGGTCATACTGTTTTTCGATTTATACTATTGATTCACTGTAATTTGTGCAATGTTTTAAAGTCTAGGCAATATATTTTACCATTCAGTGTCTAGGATCCAAACTGTCGATGTCCTCGTGGGTTTTGATGGTTTGTTTTTATTTAAAGTGAGAGGCAACTAAGTAAATATATTGTAGGTCGATATGCTTCAGGCGTGTCTGGTTTACCTTTATTGTCTTTTCTTATTACCGGAAACAGAAAGTTCGACAGCAGATTCTATGTGAGGATGCTTTTAGTTATTAATATAACGTAGAAACTAACCAAGTTAATACGGAAATAGTATTGATATCAAGTTGAGTTGAGAGTTCGATTGTCCTGACCAGTGCGGGTATTTAGTTTGTATGTATGTCGGTCATTATTTTCTGTTTGTACTGTCAGACCTGTATTAAGCGACCACCGTTTGGAACCAATAAAGCAGTTTTTTTATTGTATTGTTCTCTTAATACAGGGTCAGTTAAAACTAAATTCAAGACTGCGGTGGAGAAATTTAAGTGTCACATGTGTTCTCTTAAAGTTGTCTCTCAAGCAGGTTTGACTGTTTAAATTTCATAAATGCTCTTTAATCGCAGTAATGAATATCAAAATGTTACCTGAAAGCCTTATTATATATAACGGCAATGTGTCGTTTCCTGTTTCAGACTGTATCGGGCGGAGGTAGCCACCATGGACACTCGGCCTACTCGAGTGTGAAAAGCTCGCATGGACACAGTGAAGATAAGTCGAACGGAGAAGCGAGAAACCACTCCCGACCCTCCAACAAGAGGTCCAACTCATCATCTTCCAACCAGTCCCACCACCATCACCAAAGTCCACACATTCAGAAAACCCATCACAAGCGTCCTGCTAGCGCATCACCACACACGCCACCGGAGGAGGACGACCGTGCCACCAGGTTCGATAAATATGTATGAATATTATAGATAGAAGCAAAGGTTTATTATTATGAAGTCCACTAATTATCATTGTCATCACAACCTTTCCTTTCTCTTTTTATCAAGCTTCATAAATGTCAGTGTGAATTAAAATGAATATGTTTGATCAAGTGTCGTATGTAGCCTAGTTTGTAAATATGGAATAAAATGCCTTTCCCTGGTGCATGTTCTCCAACTTCAGGATAATCAATTCTTGATACGCCACTAACATGTTCTTTATCTGTTCCCAGGCTGGCTGATCACCAGGACGTGACGGTCACGCTGGAAACCACGCCCATCCCAAGCCCGGAAAGCGTTCCAGAGGTCGATATCGTACAACACCACGACCCGGAGAAGTGAGAAGTACTCTCGTTCGGGACGAGACTTCATGTTTGTAAAAACAAAAATAACATGTTTTAGACAATCTTTCAAACTGGGATAAATATGGTGCCTTCTTCTCTCTGTTCCTTTTTTGATATATTAAATATATTCTTCATTAACAAAAACAATAAGAAATTTATTGCACTTTTTTCAATAAAGGCCCGTGAATCAATAAGTGACTTAGGAGAGGCCGATAATATAACATTTTTTTCATAGAATGAAAACAGAGAAGCAGAACGACACCAATAATAGGTTGTGCTGTGTAGAATTGGACTGTTGTGGACAAATTTGGGTCGCCATTAGTGTAATCGATGTGACAGAAGAAGACTGTTTTTACTCCATCGATATTTCGGGTTTGGACATTACCTCTCATTTCAATGCGTCAATCAACAGTGCGTGCGTACAGAAAAACACAATTATCGGACGTCCTTGAACATCGATAACATCTTGGATATGTGGTAAATCTGTATAGAATCGAATCCAGTTTTGAAGTTCACAATATAGAAACCCAAACGGTGACATCCAATACATTGTGTGTTGAGGCGGCAACTGTTAGACCAAAGTTAACATATAACTGTGCAGATACTGGTATCATAGAACCAAGACTACAAGTCAGTAAACGAGGACCAGGTTTCAATGTTGACACCAGAGAGTATGACCACATTGCGATGTAGACACCAGAGAATATGACCACATTGCGATGTTGACACCAGAGAGTATGACCACATTGCGTAGACACCAGAGAATGTGACCACATTACGATGTTTGCACCAGAGAGTATGACCACATTGCGATGTTGACACCAAAGAGTATGACCACATTGCGATGTTGACACCAGAGAATATGACCACATTACGATGTTGACACTAGTGAATTTTGGTGCGTCACATCATGGTGTATTAAAAGACATAGCCAGCGTTGGTGAAAAGACATATGTAAAATCATACAGCATTCTAAATGATAAACAGTTATAAAACATTGTAACACGTGCAATACTAACTCATCATGTACGCCCTTACACGTGCATTACATAAAAACATATACGATACATGTGCAAACGCCTCATCAATAGCATAAACATGAACGAGTCCCTCTTGTACGACATTAAATGTGCAAAACAAGCGCATTTTGTACAATGTTCTACGTTTAATACGAACGCATCATGTACAGCGTTATACGTGCAATACGAACGCATCATGTACAGCGTTATACGTGCAATACGAACGCATCATGTACAGCGTTATACGTGCAATACGAACGCATCATGTACAGCGTTATACGTGCAATACGAACGCATCATGTACAGCGTTATACGTGCAATACGAACGCATCATGTACAGCGTTATACGTGCAATACGAACGCATCATGTACAGCGTTATACGTGCAATACGAACGCATCATGTACAGCGTTATACGTGCAATACGAACGCATCATGTACAGCGTTATACGTGCAATACGAACGCATCATGTACAGCGTTATACGTGCAATACGAACGCATCATGTACAGCGTTATACGTGCAATACGAACGCATCATGTACAGCGTTATACTTGCTATTCGCATAGTTGAACGTGCAATAATTATGTTTACAGTTACACTTGCAACAAGTATATGAATACAGAAGTTACACCATGTGCATTACGTACAAAACATGCACACCATTTACGTGCAATGTGAACACAACATAGTCTCAAAACTGAATTGTTTTTTCTAAATGTGTATGTGTCTTTGGTGCAAAAACATAATGGATACCCCTGTTTAGGGTCAATTATCACCAATTATACATCAACTTATATCGACTTATCATCAATCGTACACATCAATATAGTTACCATATTAAATTGCTAAGACCTAATATGTTTAAATCAATATTCTGAAAGTCGTAATGTTATCTTTATCATCTCGAAACCTTAAACCATTTGGCGTGATCCCTTTTAAATAAATTATAAAGATATGGAGATGTTGTGATAGATATGTTCTGATCGTCGAGTTGGTACATGTGTAAGTAGGTCGACTGAATGTTCAACTGAAATTCTACACTGGAACCAAGAAAATGTCAGGAACCATCGATTTTTCCAAGAATATAATCTTCCCCGACAGATCTTGTTATTTCTGCATACCAGCTTTCCCGCCTAATGTTGCTGAAGCTGATGCACAGTTTTGTTTCATCTCCGCGTCCACCAGGGATCTATCGTCTCCCCACTTACTGCTTGTATGATATATAGGTCACTTGTGTGCATCACAAGCGGGGGTTTTGACGACTACATGTATTTATTTCTAAACAAAACCCAAAATCCTATTTGATCAGATTCTGTGAATAAAATGGTAACCAGGCAACAATTGTGAGATGAAGGATAGTAAGAGTATGGCCCAAAGTCCAGTTCTAAAATCTAATAAATGATACGATGGTTAAAAAAAAGCATTGGGATATTCTAGGAAACGTTTTCGTCCATAAGTAAATGTAATAGTAAGGTTGGACGTTTGACATGTACCTACCGGATACATATTCCGTCTTTGCGTATTGCAGAGGTATCTTCTCTTGGGAGAAGGAATTGATTGTTACGTCATTGGTTTGTGTTAGAAAATTACGTCGTTTTCTCAAAAATTGATGACGTTCCTCTCACAAACAAGTGACGTAACAATCAAAACCTGCTCCCAAGAGAAGATAACTCTGCAATACGCAAAGACGGAATACATAGGTAGGGACAAGATTAACCCAAATGGGTGGTATGTGCCTGTGCGCATGTGTGCGTGTGTGCATGTATAAATATGTATATATACAAGTAAAAGTAAGGTAAAACTAACTGTAATATATATATATATAATGTATATTCGCAGTAGTAAAAATATCCTTGATGGCGAAGACACATTTAAGATTATAATAATTATAATCAATAAATTCTCGACAATTCAGGTTATCTTTTTGTAGGTGTGAAAACAGAAGTTTGATCATCTTATTCCCCAGTTGTCCGTGACGTATTCTAATATTATTACATAGAGAATAATACATGTATTTTTCCATATCACACCCAGTATCAACCCGAGACTGCAATATCAGCGCGAGGGCCGAGGCCCGATGGCTGATATTGGTCGAGGGTTGATACTGGGTGTGATATGGAAAAAGGCATATTTTATTCTGTTTATTACATACTTACTAATAAAAGCTACTATCTGAGGATCTATTTTTCATTTGAAATATTGAAAAACGAAAAATTTCCAAAAGGGATGTGATACGGGTTTTGCGGCCTAATACGGGTTTTGGGGTATGATGCGGCGAGGGCTGATACGGATTTTGGGGTGTGATATGGCGAGGGCTATTAGGGGTTAGAGCAATTGTGTCGTATCGCATATACAAAACCCCGTATTAATTAGTAAGTATGTAATAAATAGAGAATAATACATGCCTTTTTCCTTATCACACCCAGTATCAACCCGAAACTGCAATATCAGCCCAAGCTACTATCTTATGATAAATTTTTCTTTTAAAATTTTGAAAAACGAAAAAAAAATCCAAAAGTGGTGTGGAAAAAGTCATGATTCATTCTGTTTATTACATACTTACTAATAAAAGCTACTATCTTACGATAAATTTTTTATGTAATAAATGTAAAAAATGCACTCCCAATATTGGATCCAAAATTGAAATAAGGCTTGAAATTATTGTTATCTTATAAATTTGATTCTGATCATGGTTTGGAAAAAAGAGTTCTGATTTTATATAGGGCTGGTAACAAATTACGTAAAACTAGACTGTACGGTGACTACAATATTCGAACTTCTGTTTATAGACGTTATAGATCTTACATAACTTCCCATTTCATATGATGAGATTCATGAAACGATTCGAAGGATTGTTCATTTTAACGAACTTTTGCGATGAAGTCATATTTGTTTCTGATGTTCGTGAAAGCAACACGTTCTCAAGTTAACTGGAATAAAGATGACGTCATTTTAATTACAAACCTCTTTCTGTTATGACGTCACCATTGGAATAATGGGAACCTGCAGGCAATTACAGCTCCGCTATGTGTTATTGAACATGTGTTCACAACACAACTTGTGTAATGGGAGTTATGACGCTGATATCAAGGTAGTTGTGATAGAAATAAACCTATAATTATATATAAGGTTGAGGTGGAGCTTTTGTCATCGTTCTCCAGTATTTATTATACATATAACATAGGAATAACATGGGATATGTAATACTATAACAAATCAAAATGATTATTATAATAATCCATATGGCTCTGAAATGTTTATTTTATTGGGTGTTGAATTTGTTGCTTTTGATATTACGTACACATAGTACTTGACACCATGGCTGTCTTTGGGCGAGTACTCTTCACCAAGTACGAGTATAATCCTGTATTTGTATAACATGTATTCGACATAACGTCAAGATGACACTCCTGTGCGAATTTCATTCAAAGTGGTTGTGTATTTTTTTTCGAAAGTCTAAAGCATAACATATTCTAACAAAATTTCAAATTTTAGCAATTTTAGTTTTAATTTTCAGAATATCCTCATACGTAGGTGCCAGCAATATTATAAGTGACTTAAACAGATTTTACTCCCCACTTCTGGGACGATGTACGCACTTTAAACTTATTTTACTGGGTTAGTTTCCAAATAATGAATACCTGTGTCACTCCCCCAAAGACACCCCTGGCAGTGTAGTACCGCGGAGGAGTTTGTGTGCTGTGTACTCTGATCTGTTGTGTTGCCTCGTTTTATGTAGTACACTATTTGAGATATTGGACGTTATCATAACATGTCATTTTTTAAATTCGTTTTTGTGAAAATTCATATATTTTTATGTACAAAATTGTAATAACACCATTATGTTTGTCAGTACAATGTGAATATTTTTTCCTTTGTGCTGACCATGTCGAGAAGGGATATTACCTGAACCCTCAAGCTGGGTACATGTATACCTTACAGTAGTGGAATGATTTTGTAAACTGAGCAACACAGTCCAGTAATGATACTAGCTGTGTTCGAGGTTCATTCGTCCGTAGAGCAGTGCAATAAAAGGTGTTATATCCCATTATTATAGAAAACCCTCATTTAAATATCACATGTTGTTTAAAATCAAGATCGTCCAAAGTTTCATTGAAAAGTTTCCATAGAAAAGTTAAACAATCGTCTTCTCTCTTAAAATAATGTCACATGAAGCATTTCTTTGTCGTTTACCCAGAAGAAGTATCACTTGCAGCACTCCTCTGGAAGGAAAAAACGTCAGATCTAGCATTCCTCTCAACAGTGCTTGTGTCACATCTAGTTCTCCATAGTAGTCTAGACGGCACAAACGTCACATCTAGCATTCCTCTCAATAGTGCTTGTGTCACATCTAGCTTCAAAAGTAGTCTAGACGGAACACACGTCAGATCTAGCATTCCTCTCAACAGTACTTGTGTCACATCTAGCTTCAATAGTAGTCTAGACGGAACACACGTCAGATCTAGCATTCCTCTAAACAGTACTTGTGTCACGTCTAGCTTCAATAGTAGTCTAGGCGGAACACACGTCAGATCTAGCATTTTCTAAACAGCACTTGTGTCACATCTAGCTTCAATAGTAGTCTAGGCGGAACACACGTCAGATCTAGCATTCCTCTCAACAGTACTTGTGTCACATCTAGCTTCTATAGTAGTCTAGGCGGAACACACGTCAGATCTAGCATTCCTCTAAACAGCACTTGTGTCACATCTAGCTTCAATAGTAGTCTAGACGGCACAAACGTCAGATCTAGCATTCCTCTAAACATTACGTGTGCCACATCTAGTCCTCCATAGTAGTCTAGACGGAACAAATGTCACGTGACAATACTCGTCTGAAAAAATTGCCAGTACTGTAAATCTATCAAAAATTGTCACAACAGACCTGTTTCTTTGTGTCAATGGTACCGGATTGTATATCAAAACAGACCAAATAGACTGCGCATGCGTCTTTCGGGATTATTTTAAAATGCGAAATACATTTGCGAACAAGTAAATTTGACTGATTATCGTAAGCGTTGCTCCGGTCTGTCATGTAGGCTCTGTCTTACATTAGTTTTATCTTGTCAATTCAGGTAAAGTTAGACAATGCAGCATGCTAGCTTAAAACTCCATGATCATTATTAACGTATGATATAGCAAAGCATGACATCAGCAGAATCGCAACATTGCGAATATTAAATAAAACGACTGTGAATGCAATGTATGTCCGAAACCAACGGTCACCCTTAGCACACAATACATGGGTGAATCGCTGAGTCTACACAAACATGAATAACTAGTTTACAAAAGGAAAATAGTATAGATAATGAACAAAGACTAGCTATGTTTATTTTTAGTGATGCTATTGGATTCACGACACATTCTATATTGCATTTTTCGAAATGATTTCCTTTTTACTGCCCACTACGCAAGGCATGCTGTGCCATATTGAAGCAATATTCTCTATTTTTGGTAAGTATAAACAGCTTCCGGTAACATGGAGCAGCTTCCGGTAACATGGAGCATTGGATCCCTTAATGATTTTTTGTAGTCCATGGACAACCTGTGCTAATGTAGGTATGACAGAAAAGTTGCATATAGAACTGTTATTCAAAGTAAGGTCACTTCCCATTTTGAGCAAATTCCTTGATATAATGAAATCATTTTAAAACCAAACAGTGTAGGTAAGTGTCGTGTTAAGAACGAAGTGGTGAAAGAACATGGGAATATGACTATGTCCAATGAAATGTGACTTTGTTTATACCTGACTAATAGTATATTCCTAAACATAACATTCGATTGTACGAACGATTCTCGATAAGAATGGGTTGATTCGACCTATCTATATGTTACTAACCATTGGACGAGGCCATGTTATCTAAGTTGTGAGGTTAACAGATATTTACAGTGGTATCATTTTGTGTACATTCCATTGGTTACACTTATGTGTACGTTTATGTATGTGTATATATCGTAATAATAAAATAACTATTTAAATTAGAAACGTCTTGTTGTTTTGTACACACAAGAGGCGATGGGAAGTTGAGGTGATGAAATATTATGTTCCATTCTAAATTAAGATTAACGATTATTCAGCTTTCCTGCGCCTATAAACGTTAATGTGGCTGAGGATAACGTTTCTGTCCCGCTGAAATGAATTGGTAGAGACATGCCCGGCCAACATTGTCTTATCTCTGACCAGTCGGTCACATACACGGCAGAGGATATCGCGTATTCAAGGCCCGGTCACAACCAACCGTACGTGTTTTTAGTCCGTACGTTTTTGGGGAGGCCGCGGCCGCCACGTCTTTCTGAAAACGTGGGGAGGGAGTGGCAAGAGCAGGGAGAGAGTACCTCAACGCATGCACTCGCACGGTTGCGCAAGGTGTAATTACGTGGCCCGCACGCCACGCCTGGTCGTGAGCGGTTGCGTGCATCGTACGTTGCACACGTGGTAAGTGAGTTGTACGTGCTTACAACTTACTTACAACGTACGATCTCCGTGCGATTGCTACGTTATCCTACGGAGGCCGTACTTACACGTGCTGCTCACGTACG